GAAGAAACAGGCTTTGCAAAGCCAAATATGGACATCCTTGCTTTCTGATAACCCACATCCACTTGGTAAATCACTCTCATGTAGCTTTTGATGAGGTGGCCTTGGAAGTCCAGTGTCCTGGCACATAGCCATCTTTGTTCATCAAAGTCATAGAAACCCCTTTCACCTATTGAGAGGTGCAGAGAATTGAACCAGTCCTGCCCTTGCCCAGGACTGCCTTATATGTAAGTCCCCCTTAATAAACTCCTTGTTGCCACCCATGGAGTTGCCTGCTTATTTCTTTGGTCTCACAGCCCTTTCCATATTTAGAGGTACATTTCAAGTTACTGGTCTATACCCAGATATTAGAAAAGACAGGTTGAGCAGAAGATGGGAGATAAAGATGAGAAAGAGGATGGAACCCACAGTTGCTATAAATAATTAGAAACAAACAAGGAGCAGGGGTGTTAACTTAAATTTTTACCAAAGACAACTATCAAACTATGTGGAAAATCTAATAAGGAAAAATATCAAGGAGAAACTAAGAGGGTGTGAGATTACAGTGATAAAGATGGAGAAACATTAAAATAAAGATGGTGAATATTACTCAGCAATAAAGAGAAATGAAGTTCTGATCCATGCTATCACATAGATGAACCTTGACAAGATTATGCTGAATGTAATACATCAGACATAAAGGAACAAATATTATATGATTCTACTTATATGAATTATTTAGAATAGGCAAATGCATATAGACAAAATTTATCAGTGGCTACCCCCAAGGAGGGGTTGCTATGAGTCAGGTCCAACTCGACGGCACATAACAACAACAACAACAACCAGGGGGTAAGGGCAAAGAAGGCAGGGGAGTCATTGCTTAAGGGAAACTGAGTGTCTATCTGGAGTGATGACAACTTTTGGAAATAGATAGTGGTGATGGTTGAATAACATGGCGAATGTAATTAATGTCATTGAATTATATACTTAAAAATGGTTGAAATGGCAAAAATTTTGTTATATATATTTAACCACAACAAAACTAAAAAGAGGAAGAGAAATTATATAAAGAAGGAGGAAAGAAACGTAAGGAACTCTCCAGTAAGAGTTCATGAGAGATGAAACTTCACAGCCCATCAGAATGTTGTTGAGACCTTCCCACCCATAATACCAATAAATAAAACAAAGGAAAAGAATAACACAAACATATCAATTGATGCAGAAATGGCATTTGACAAAATCCAACACCCACTTCTGATTTAAAAAATGCGGAGCAAAATAGAAATAAAAGGAAATTCCTCAACATAATTAAGGGCATATATACAAAACCACGGGAACTCTGGTACATAGTGCCTAAGGCATTTGACTGCTAACTAGAAGGCTGGCTGTTCAAACCCACCAGCCACTCCTCAGAAAGAAGATGGGGCAATCTACTTCCATAGTGATACTGCCTCAGAAACCCAAGGAGGGGTCGCTATGAGTCGGGTCCGATTAGATGGCATATAACAACAACAACACACAAAACCATAGCCAACATTATTCTCAATGTGGAGAGAATGAAAGTATTCCCCTTACGAATGGGTACCAGACAAGGATGCCCTTTATTACCACTCCTATTCAATACTGTATTGGGAGTCCTAGCCAGAGCAATAAGACAAGGGAAATAAAAGCCATTCAAATTGGAAAAGAAGTAAAACTATCTTTGTTTGCAGATGATATGATCTTATACATAGAAATAATCAAAGATTCAGTAAGAAAATTACTGAAACTAGTTGAAAGTTTCAGCAAAGTGGCAGCATACAAGATCAACATAAAAAATCAGTTGGGTTGCTTTACACTAATGAAGAGAACCCTGAAAAGGAAATCAGGAAAGCAATACCACTTACAATAACAATACTGTGCATAAATCTAACCAGAGGCACAAAAGATATACACAAAGAAAACTACAAAACACTATTAAAAGAGACCTATATAAATAGAAGAATATACCATGCTCATGGATAGGAAGACTTAACATCGTGAAAATGTCAATGCTACCCAAAGTGATCTACAGATATAACGTAATCCTGATCCAGATTCCATCATCTTTCTTTAAAGAGATAGAAAAACTAACCACTAGTTTTATGTGGAAAGGAAAGAGACCCTGGATAAGTAAAACACTATTAAAGAAGTAAAACAAAGTAGGAGGTCTCACACTTTCCAGTCTCAAAACCTACCATGTAGTTAAGACAGCTTGGTACTGGCACAATGACAAATACGTAGACCAATGGAACAGAATTGAGAACCCAAAAGTACATCCATCTACCTATGGACAGCTCATCTTTGACAAAAGGCCAAAACTCATTAAGTGGGGAAGAGACGGTATCTTTAATGGTGCTGGCAAAACTGGATATCCATTTGCAGAAAAATGAAACAGGATCCGTAATCTCACACCATGTACAAAGATGAACTCAAGTTGAATCAAAGATCTGAATGTAAACCATCAAGATCATGAAAGAAAAAATAGGTACAAACTTAGGGACCCTAATTCAATGCACAAATACACTATTGAACATAATAAAAACCACACAAACACCAGAAGACAAATAGATGAATGGAACCTCTTAAAAACCAGACATTTATATGCATTAAAAGATTTCACCAAAAGAGTAAAAAGAGAACCCACAGACTGGGAAGAAAAAATTTGGCAATGATCTATCAGACAAGAAGCTAATCTCTGAAATTTGTAGAAAACTTCAACACCTGAACAACAAAAAGGCAAATAATGCAATTAAAAAATGGGCAGAGGACATGAACAGACACTTCACCAAAGAAGACATTCAGGCTGCTAAAAAACACATGAAGAAATGCTCATGATCATTAGAGAAGTAAATCAGAATAACAATGAGATACTGTCCCACCCCAGCACTGATAGCAGGGTTCAGAAAACAACATATGTTGATGAGGGTGTGGAGAGACTGGAACTCTCACACACTGCTGGTGGGACTGTAAAATGGTGCAACCACTCTGGAAAATGTTCTAGCTCGTCCTTAAAAAGCCAGCAATAGACATAATGATCCAGCAATCCCACTAGGTATATAGCCTACAGAAATAAGAAACTTGTGTTCTTATGTTCTTGTGTTCATCGCAGCACTATTCACAGCAGCAAAAAGATGGAAACAACCTAAAAGCCCATCATCGGAGGAATGGATCAACAAACTATGGTACACGATAATGGAATACTGTGCAGTGTTAAAGACCAGTGATGAATGTGTGAAACATCTCATAACGTGGATGAACTTAGAAGATATTATGCTGAGTGAAATTAGGCAATCACAAAAGAACAAGTATTGTATGAGACCACTATTGTAAAAAGTCAAGGAAAGACTTTCACAAAAAAAGAGAGAAATATTCTTTGACAGTTACCGGACAAGGAAAGGAGTGTAACATCTAACTAGAGGGTTGTTGTTGTTGTTGTTGTTTGCCGTCGAGTCGGCCCCGACTCATAGTGACCCCTCCTTGGGTTTCTGAGGCAGTTAATTTGGGTGAAGAGGATGGCAAAAAAAAAAAAAAGGAAAGAAAAACATCATAGATCTTCCTCCCATAATAAATGTTGAGGAAGCAAAGTGATTGTAAATTTAAAAAAAAAAAAAAAAAGATTATTTTCACCTATCAAATTAGAAAAGCATTTAACACTTCTTTGGAGGGCAATCTGACAACTGTTTAAAAAAAAAGAAAAAGAAAATTCTTGTCATGTAAGAAGGAAAAACACAGTTATAGACAGCTAATGCTTTCAATGAGTGGAATGAAAGGGGATGGAATGGTAAAACGTGACAGTTCTGCTATGTCCTTTGGGATTTAAAACTATGAATGGGGTTACACAGACACAGATACACACCCCCCCCCCCAAACAAAAACACACTCATTGGATTTGGAGGAAATCCAAGAACATTAGGGGCAACTCCTGATTCTCTGGGAGTATGTCCTGAGGATACCGAAGCCTCTTAAGCTCTCAAGGCCAACATGGTGTGAGAAAGGTTGAGTGGCTGAGGTCAAAGGTGAAAAATCACCAGCAGAGAGGGAGTGCTGAGAGGAACTGAGGCACAGAAGAGGCTTGGGTTTGTATTAAAGATGTTCCGGAATTCTAGGACTTCATGATTAGAGGGGACATGGCCACATCTGTGGACATCAGCAATGGACACCTGGACACTGCCCTAGGGACCAGGTGGCTTGAGTCACTCTGCAGTGGATACCCCTCCACTCAGACATAATTTTGGAAGGACAAAAGTGAGAGACAAAATCTTTACAAGGGGAGAAAACTGATATTTAAGAAATTATATGTCAGAATATTTATAATGGAAAAGAGTATGGAGACCTACTTACAGTCAAGGTCTGAAGTGCATTTCCAAGTTAATTGGAAATTATGTTTGGCTTTATACAAGTAATAGGAATCTCTCATTTCTCTCCATTCTAAGTGGAGATGATATTACTTCTTGAGCAAACATAATGTGATTACTTCATTGTTAATGGAGGCCTGAAAGAGACATGAGTTGGGTGTTATAAAATGAGAAGAGGTACTTTTGTTTTGCACATCTCAGTCATAGGGTGTAAATCTTTGACCCTACTACAAAAATGAATGTATCTGGATTGTCATTCCTGGAGGGGCATTGCTGGCACTTCATCATTCCTTTTTCCAAAGGTCACTTTCTTTCACCTCAGAATTTTGAACAGATCAGATGTTTTGGGGGTAGAACGAATGAAAAAACTCTACTCACATTTTCACAGTATTGCACTGTTTCAATCTGGCTTTCTGTATTGTGTAAGTTGGGTGAAGCAGTTATTAGTTTGATTTTACAATTACATTAGACAATACAGGTTTTGTGAGGTGAGGTGATTTGGCAGCCAGAGGCAGCTCTGTGCTCATCCTTCAAGTCTTCTGTCTCCAAATCCACTGTCTGGCCTTTTGAACTGCTTCCCCACACCTCACTGATAATGTTGAGACTGATTTCTGAAGTTTATCTCATGTCAAGCAGAAAGGGTGGCTATTGGGGCTGAGTCTCCAATTTGTCTTCACCTCTCGTTTCCTGTGTGTCACTCCATAGCACGGCGAGGGGCTGGGCCAGGCTGCTGTGTGCCACGTGGCAGGTGTAGGTTGCTGTGTCTTGAGGAGGGACTTCCACCACCACCCAGGACTGGTATATACCATTTCCACTGGGAAGAACACCTCCTCCTGACTCAGACCTCTGCGCTTCACTGGCCCTAGTCCAGTGCAGATCAATTCCTTGTGGGTAGAAGTCATAGGCCACGCACTTGAGGATCCTGTTTTTTCCTGGGACCATGTGGCTGGTGATTGACACTGAGGGAGGGTCTGTGGAGGAACAGAGCATGGATATTGAGACCTTGAAGAAGACTTCTCCTTGTCCGAGTCTCTTGCCATTCCAACTCCCTGGTTGTCAGTGATTAGCAGGGGATTAGTTCTAGGATATATTTGTCTCCCCCAAGAAACTTTTATGAAGAAAAGGGGAGATTGAGGCTTCTCCTGAGCCTTCCCTGTTGGATCATGGAATGTCCATGGCTACTCCCTTGCCAGTCCTCCCCACCCACCATATAGTGACTGCTGATGGCAATGAATTGTGAATACCTCCAGAGCCAATCCTATTTTTCCCCAAAACCTCTGAGTAAACTGTACAGCCCCCTCTTGCCTACAATCTCAGTTCAGCTTTTAGTTCTACCTGTGGCCTGTGCATCAAACAATTCCCTGCTTGTTTTGGTCACCTAGTGCCGCTCTGACAGGAATAGACCATAAATGGAATGGCTTTAACAAACAGGAGTTTATTCTCTTACAATTTTGGAGGCTAGAAGTCCGAGTTCAAAGTGCCAGGCTCTAGGGGTTGGGTGAAAGCCCCTAAACCTTGGGCTCTACCTCCTGCTCCCAGCCCACTGAAGCTGGAGGCCTTTTTTCACTCAGACAGCTGCTGGGTGCTGAGGCTGGCAAACCCAAGGTCAACACGTAAAAAGGCACAGGCTCAATGTTACCAAACAACACAGCAGGCCACTAAATCAAGTCCAGAAGAAGTCCCAAGATTGGCATGGCAGGTTGCTGAACAACAACCTGGCTACATGCAGGGTTCAAGCGTACCAAAAACCTGGAGACCTTCCTCAAAGCTGCTTCTTATATACAGAAAGCAGCCCACATCCCTAAAGCAGCTACTCAGATGCTCCAGTAGATTCCACTATGGAGTTGATTGCCAGTCTCATCATGGGGAATAACTACATCCAGCTGCCCAGCCACTCAACCAGGCCAAGTTGACAACAACCTTAAGTACCACACTGCTCCATCCACAACATGCTTTTTCATTACTTTCCAATTCAGAAAGTCAATTTATGCCAATCAGTCTTGCTCACATCTGCTCATTTTCATCCTTGTGGGACTGACATTCTGCACACCTACCTTCTCTTCAAAACCAAGCCAGGGAGACATAATAGTAGAGGAAAATGACAGGGATATCGTACTGGGTGGGCCCTAATCCAATATGACTCATGTTCTTATAAGAACTGGAGAGGACACACAGAGATCCAGATGTAAAGATGGAGGCAGAGATTGGAGTGGTGTCTACAAGCCAAGCAATGACAAAGATGACCATGGACCACCAGAAACTAGGAAAAGGCAAGGGAGGATATTCCTTAGAGCCATCTGAGTGAGCGTGGCCCTGCTAACACCTTAATTTTGGACTCCTAGTCTCCAGAACTGTGAGAGAATAAATCGTATTATTCTAAGCCACCCAGTTTGTGGTAATTTGTTACAGCAGCCCTCGGAAACAAATACAGATTTGAAACCTGAAACATGGAATTTGAGTTCCAGCTCTGCATCTTATGGATGGACAGTGTTAACCTAACCTCTGTAATCCCCAGCTTCCTCATCAGTAATATTAGGTATTAGGGAAGCCATACTATTGAATCAATATCTTTCCTGGCCTATCCTGCCTGGAATTTGATGGATGTTGTTTTTGGACCCCACATCTTGTCCTCCCGGGGAAGGACTGAGTCTGAGGATGTCAAAGCTGAAGGGCCTAAGGGACTATCAGGAATTATGAGGTTGTTGTTATTATGTGCTGATGAGTTGGACCCGACTCATAGCGACCCCTCGTTGGGTTTCCGAGGTGGTATCACTAGGGAAGTAGATTGCCCAACCTTCCTTCTGAGGAGTGGCTGGTGGGTTTGAACCGCCAGCCTTCTGGTTAGCAGTCAAGTGCCTTAGGCACTATGCTACCAGAGCTCCCAGGGATAATGAGGAGCGGTGTGAAATGCTTCTCTGGGCTCCCAACCTGAGGTCACCATGGTCTTTCTCAGCTCAGTGCTGGGGAGCAGGACACAGGAAGCAGCAAGTACCTTGTTGGTCCAGATGAGGCTTGCTGTGGTTCAGGTACCTCTGCAGCATCCCGGGGCACTCCTCCTCCAGGTAGGCCTTTGCTCGCTTCACGTAGACTTCTTCTGCCTCCCATTTCCGCTTGGTGTTCTGGGCTGCTGGGTCCAAGGGGACCCAGGCTGGGATTTCCTTGTTGAACTCGATGAAGTCTTGGCCATCATAGGCGTACCTCCAGAATGCTCCACTGCTTTTGTTATTCCGGAGCTCACAACCAAACATTCCCTGAAAGGTGTGAGACCCTGAATCCTCCCCCACCCCGACCCCACAGGAAGTCAGTCAGCCTGGCATCAGCTCCATCTTACTCTGACTCCTACACAGCTTGCAACCCTGTAGGAGGGAAGGTTTTTGAAATCTAAGCACACAACCCCCTTTATCTTAGCTTATAGGTTATTAGCCAAACATACAGTTGAGAGGAAGAGGGAAACTGGTTTGGTGTTTTAGGCTAGTCTGAGATGAGCTATAGTCTTTCCAACTGGGAAACTTAAGAGAGGTAGATAGACTGTAGATAGACTGTAGATAGATTTTGGCCCTTCTGCTTTTTTGTTTATTTGAATATGCTGTGAGTTCTTGGAACTCCAACACAATCATACTGAAGTGCATTTCCACATTAAATGGAAGTTATTTTCTGGCTTTATGTAGGTAATTGGATTCTCTCATTTTCTCTCCATTCTTAGTTGGTTTTACTTCCTGAATAAACACAATGTGATTACTTCTCCTTTTTTTGTTATCTTTGTCCCAAATCTCTACCTCCCTAGGGAAGTTGAGCACAATCTCTTCATTTTGATTAAAAAAGTAGGCATTACCCAACACCGATGAATGATACTGCCATAGACTCTGAACTCAAGTTATCTGAGATCAAATCCCAGATCTGCTCCTCCCCCGTGAACTTTAGCCATGAACTTCCCTATGCTTCAATTTCCTCACCTCTAAAATGGGAATAACAAGAGCACCTATTATAGAAGATTATTACGAGCATTAAATATGTTAATATATGTGACAGACATATACTAAATGCTCAATAAATGTTAGCTACTATTCTTGTCTAGTACCATGTCTTCGTCTATTTACCCTTTTTGGTCTAATAACTCACTTCAACACTTCTGTTTCAGCCAATCAACATTTCTCCCAGTGTCCTTCCCAGGCTTCACCCTCTTCTACTTGTGACACACAGCCCAGGCTACTTTCCTTACCAGGACTCCGCATTCCACATCCTTCTTCAAAATGAGGTGTAATCTTTCCTTGTTCTGGAAATCTTATTTGGATTCAGATTCCATATAACTTCTTGGGCATTTTTGAACTTAGAAACCCACCTTTTAACACCTATTCTATAATCGTTGAACATTAGCAATCACCAGGCTTGAGGTTGGCTGACTTGGGCGGGATGGGGCAGGGGTAGGCAATGGGGATAGGCAGTGGGGATTGAGAAAGGATGCCGTACTGGAAGACATGAAAACTAGTCTCTATGCTTGGCTCTAACACCATCTCCTTACACACAAATACAGATTACCTCCAGTGTATCTAAGCCTTACAGACAGGAGGATCTTAAAAATCCCATGTAACTGTCTATGGAAGTAGATTGCCCCATCTTCCTTCCGAGGAGTAGCTGGTGGGTTTGAACCACCAGCTTTCTGGTTAGCAGTCAAATGTGTTGAGTGTTTTCTCTATATTTATTCAACAAATTTCTGATAGGTATTATTGGTTGCATACTGTCCTGGTTGATGGGGATACAGGCAAATCAAGTCAGACTCTTCCAGCCGTTATAGAATTTATATAGATAAAACCAAACCAAACCCACTGCTATCGAGTCGTATCTGACTTATGGTGACCCCTCCTTGGGTTTCCAAGGTGGTATCACTATGGAAGTAGATTGCCCCATCTTCCTTCTGAGGAGTGGCTGGTGGGTTGAACTGCCAGCCTTCTGGTTAGCAGTCAAATGCCTTAGGCACTATGCTACCAGAGCATAGATAAGTTGTGTTAAATTTTAGTATCATGACAATTCTGGGAGGCAGGCCTCAATGCTCCAGTTGTTGCAAATGCAGCCCAGATAATTAAGTCACTTGTTCACTTGTCTGCTGTCAAACAGCTCGTGACTGGCAGAGCCACAGTGTGAACCCAGGTCTGACTGACTCTAACACTGGTACGTTCCACCTAACATCCCTGGACATTGATGGATCTTACACTTTCTAACATGGGATCAGCCTCAGATAAGGACTGGGGGAGGGGAAGTGGAGAGCTGAGGGATCAGAATGTGTCTGGATAAGAACTGACTCTGACATTACTTCCTGTGTGATACGAGGCAGAGTAAGAGGAAAGTAGATGTGTTCTGGGGTGGTGGAATGCAGAAACGTCCGTTTCTACATGTGCCTCCTGATCCTTGTTTGGGATAAGGACTATTTCTATCCTGCTGATACATTTCCACTCAAAATTGTGAGGTTGCCTCTTGAGCTAAGACCCTCCACTCCAACAATCCTTGTCCACTGACCTTCTCCATCCTTGTAATAGTCCATGATGTCCTTCAGGGTCACTAAGAAGATTTCCTCCCTGGCCTTCTGAAGTTCACTCTCCTTCTCCCAGTCTTCCATTCCTTCCACCTGGCTCCAGGGTCCCAGAGCCTTGGCCTTCCTGCCTTCACTATTGTAGTGGAAGAAGGCCTGGTCATTGAGGTAGGCGGTGGCCTGAAACCTGGGGAAGCCTTCACTGGGCTTGGACAATCCAGTATAGAGAAAAGTCAGAGAGTAAGGCCCTGCAAAAGAGGAGAGGACTTTGAGGTATGGGATTTATCCACTCAGGGGAATCTACTGTTGGACAACAGAGGACCAAGAAGGAAGACCTTCCTCCCCAGCTCTCTCTTCCCTGTCGTCAGCCTTACATCACTGCAAGCTCTCTTGAGCAAAAGGGCTCTACTTTTATTCTAGGGATATTTCAGAGACTATCCTGTCTGTACTACATCATTTCCTCTCCTTGGCCCATAAGAAGATATTTCTGTTTCCTTGTAGGTAGGGACCATGTTCTGACAAAGGGGAATGTGAGTAGAAGTGATGCTATTCTTCTGGTTTAAGGCCCTTATGAGCTGTCTGGGCTCCTCTGTATCTCTCCCCTTTAGGTGATACCTCTGGAGGCTACAGATTGAAATGGAAGAGTCCCAAGATGCCAACAGCCTGTATCCTTGAGTCAACCCATGGAGGGAGAGGAGAGTTTCCCAGTTTACAATGGACTTTCCATGAGCACGAAACGAGCTTTTGTTGGGTTAAGTCTCTAATAGCTTTATTTTTCATTAGAGCATAACCTATTCCAACCTGACAAATACAGATAGTTAGAAAATATAGGGAGAATTTTCTAGAAAATTCAGGAAATGACCCAGATGAGATCAGCACAGGAGAAGATTAGGATGCATCCCAGAATTCCCAGGACCATGCCTTGCATTTTGGTATGAGGCAAGGGATAGGCGGGTAGGAGGGAGGAATTTTCTCTGATCCATAATTAACTCATGATTCACATGGGTGTTAGTTGATAATGTTGAAAATCATATGGAACATTCCTAGTTCGGTACTGAGTTTATTCTTGCTAATTAGTTTTAAAATGAAGTTGTAAACCTAACATAAAAGGAATATTCTGATAATTTGTAAATGTAACAAATTTTAAACTCTGAGTTTAGAAATGAGCTTACATTTCTTCATTCTGAGGCATGAATGGCCTCATTCCTTTGTCCTAGAAGTGACTCTGAGTGTTCCCAAGCTCCAGCCACCTTTTCTTCTAGTCACTCACCTTCTAGGTCTGCTGTACACTCTAACTGTGGGGCAAAAGAATGGGTTTCCTTTTGTTATTGTTGTCAGTATATGCCGTCAAGTCAGACTCAACTCATAGCAACCCTTCCTTGGGTTTTCGAGGCGGTATCACTATGGAAGTAGATTGCCCAACCTTCCTTCCAAGGAGTGGCTGGTGGGTTTGAACAGCCAGCCTTCTGGTTAGCAGCCAAGTGCCTTAGGCACTACGCCACCAAAGCTCCTGGGTTTCCTTCTAGCATCATTTATCCCATTAACTTGCCTTCACACTCATCCCTTGGAGGTTGGTCTGTCTGTCTGTCTCTCAAAATCACACAGGTTCTTCCAACCATTAGAAGGAGAGAAAGAGCAAGAGGAGAAGAACCTCTTCTTGTGTGATTCCTGCTCTGTCCTAGCTGTAATTCCAGGCACATCACTTAGCCTCCCTGGGTCCTAGTTCTTTTCTTTTTTTCATTTGTAAACTAAAGGTTTTCGATTACGGATTATTTCAGGTCTTGAGTCCAGAGGCTCTCTGAATGCTTCTAGAAGTGTGTGAACTGGGTTGTTAATAGCCCCAGACACTCATTACTAAAATACTTATGGGAATCCAAGCTGCATCAGGGGCCTTTCTCCCAACACATTCATCCTATCCTTACCTTCCTTCTCATTCTCCTCTGGGACCCACCCTTCGCTTTCCCCACTCACGGGTTTGGCTCTCCTGGAGGACCGCCGGACGCAGAAGGAGCAGCAGGGACAGCACGACAAGCACCGGTGTCCCCATCGTGCCTGGTTGGAAAGTGCTGGAATTTTCTGTGTCCTGGAGTCCAGAGAAGGTTCCTTGGAGCCAGAGCCAGGTGTAGTTATGGGAATGGCTGGGTTCAAAGCCAAAAGTAGGAGGAAGTGAATCCATAAGCCAATGAGAGGGCCAGGATGGGGCCCTCCCCTGTCAGTAAGAAAAAAGATAAACAAGCCAGGCTGGGCAGAGGTTGTGATCAGTGAGCGTACAGACAGAGTCTGAAAACAGAGAGCTGAACCAGCTGATCTCCAGGCTGGGGGCTTCATGTATCCCCAAGATGAAAGAAGGCCAATGGGTGGGAGGTGTGTGTAATGACTGGCAGATGCCAGGGTATGTGTGTCACCCACTAACCTTTGACAGGTTGTGCCTTCCAGTCTGACATTCCCAACCCTGAGTAAGCATAAACCATGCTCTGTGGGGGGACTTGGGTGTTGCCAGACAACACAAGATTCATTCCTTTTGGAAAAACTCTTACGTGTTCAGAGTCTGGGACTGGGAAGAACCCAGCTAGGGTGCATCCCTCACGGTCCCACACCTATCCCACAAGAGCTCCGTCTGTGGGACGTTCACATCGGTCCCTCCCTCCCTTCACATATAGGCTTGAGGAATCAGAATCGACATTTTAACAAGCTCCCCACATGATTCTTACAGATACAGACTCGTAAGAATCACCTGGTGCTTATGCAAGCATCATCTGGGGGCCTTGTTAAAATGTAAATTCTGATTCTAGATTCTGACTCGTTGTATCTGGGGCAGAAAGGCAAATTCTCATCAGGGGTTGAACCAGACTGAATCTGGAACCGTGGGTTTGCAGGACTAGTTCTGTGGCATGACTTTTGACTGTGGGTCTGTCTGCCCCATTTCGAGCCTGGGTTCTCTAGCCTCTCCACTGACTCTGTGAGCTAACTGATAACTTAGTTTATTTTTGCTTAAGTCCGAATCGGATTCTGTTTCTAGCGCCTAATGATCCTGGTTGATAAGCAATTGGTACGGGCTTGTGTTCAGGCAATATTTGCTCAGGGAAAGGGGGAGAGGGGAACCTGGGCTTGGTTGTTGGGCCAGATTGGGGCTCAAGACTGTGAAAGTAGAGAGGCTTTAGGGACTTTCTTGCAGTGGTGAGTAAAACGGCCAACTGCACTGTCTCTTGTGATCAACTCAAATGAAATACTCACTGCAGGCAAAATTCTTAGGTCCTAAGTGTCATAGGACATGTCATAGGAAAGTGCAAAGGGCATGAGGAATTCAGGGATCAAAGGGTTGGAAGGTTGGCACTAAAAATGCTGGGGAGCTTAAAAGGAAATAAAAGACTCAAAGCCCAGTCTGAAAATTAGAGACTTTCTAACAGCAGACTCTTTGCTCTTTTGAAGTTGCAATGATGAAACAGATAAAAGCTTAGTCATGCAAAGTTTGGTCATGGTGTGCTTAGGTAGCTACCATCTTGCATGACTGGTACTGATGGAGAGTGCTAATGAGTGAGTCATGGGGCAAGAATTGAAATCTGCAGTGGGGACCAGGAAAGGCTTTGTGAGAGGCGTTGTAATTCAGCAGGATATTGAACGGGATGGAATTTCTGTAAGCAGATCTGGGGCAAATTTCAAAAGGACCGGGACTGTGTCTGTCATTTTCATTTCTCTGTCCCTAGTACTTAGGAGGGGAGCTCTGGTAGCATAGAGCCTAAGGCACTTGACTGCTAACCAGAAGGCTGGTGGTTCAGACCCACCAGCCACTCCTCGGAAGGAAGGTCGGGCAATCTACTTTCGTAGTGATACCACCTCGGAAACCCAAGAGGGGTCGCTATGTGTCGGGTCCGACTCGATGGCACACAACCACAACAACAGTACTTAGGAACAATCAGTAAACACTTAGAAAAACAGACCAATGGATAAAGGAGCAAAGATACAAAAAGCACCATTTGAGGGTTACTTAGGACACTCTGGTGGAAATGGAGTCTGTCTCAGTTATCTCAAGAACCAAAAAACCAAACTCACTGCCTTTGAGTCAGTTCTGACTCATCGTGACCCCTCCTTGGGTTTCCAAGGCAGTATCTCTACGGAAGTAGACTGCCCAGTCTTCCATCTCAGCCTAGTTATCTAGTGCTTCTATAAAAGAAATATGACAGTAGTTTATAATGTTATTGTTGTCGGGTGCCATCAAGTCAGCTCCAACTCATACGACCTTATTATGTATAAGAGAATGAAATATTGCCCTGTCCGGCCCCATCTCACAGTCATTGCTGTGTTTGAACCCATGGTCAATTAATCTCATTGAGGGTCTTCCTCTTTTTCACTGACCCTCTACTTTACCAAGCTTATAATGTATAGAGATGCAATTTGTGACAATATTGTTTACATAACTGAACAAAGGGGAGTAATGGAGCTATATTGGAGCAAAGTTTCTGCATGTAATTAAGGTAGTATTCAAAAAAAAAAAAAAAAAAGAAGAAGAAGAAGAAAGAAAGATCACAATTGGATGGCTTTAACAAACAAAAATTTATCTTCTCCCAGT